GGGGGGGGGGGGGGGGGGGGGGGGGGGGGGGGCGTCACTGAACACAAGTTCAGAGGTGTGAAATGAACATCTGCAAGACACCAGCTTATGTCACATCAACATTATTTTGTGAATGTCGCCCCCCCCCCCCCCCCCCCCCATTGGCATTTATGATAAGGAGACCTTGGCTTAGCATCTGCCTGAAGTAGCAGGATCATCTGCAGCTGCCACTTTGCTGGATTCAAGTGCTCGATTTGTTATATTCTCCCTTTGTCTTCCTCTCTCCATCTATACGTCATTCCTCCCCATCTTGTCCTGGAGATTGTTGGTGGTTTAACTATTTACTCGGTCCTCCATTTTTATAGGAAATATACTGCCATAATTTTTAATGGTATTAGTGTAGATTTTATGCTTTCAGTCCTTTGTGGATGATTTCCACCTTTTTTTGTGGGGATGTTGAAAAAAACAACAATTTCTGTCATTTATTAAAGAAAGCATGAATATAAATATAAATGCCATTTGGACCTGCAACATTTGAGCCTGTTTCCAATTCATTTAACTGTCTATTTTTTCAAATATTGGTAAACCTATTAACTAAAACGTGGAGAAAAAACTTGAAAATGTTATCCGTTGTTCAAATTTCTAACCTGTGAAGGGAAAAAAATTCATGGCTTTTCTCTCATAATGACACCAGCTGATACGAAATTCAGTTTCTGCTCATGAAGAAATTCTACCATCATTTTATGTATCTAGTGCCCAGGCCTATCTGAATAATCTCCTCAAATTCTGCGCAGCACATAAGCACAAACAGAGTGATTTCTCAGAATTCCCCCCCCCCCCACACACACATATGCATTATTTTTCAAATGATAAAAAAACTTAAATTTTCTTATTTGACTTGCACATACATCTGACCTTATACCAGCTGATGCATATACACATACCAAACAGGCACAACGCAACGTTTTCACCCAGCATGCGGCAGTTCTGAGCTATTCATCTGAAATTCACATTGACGTATAGGGAATTAATTCCTGGCTGCTTTCCATTGATCCATTCTCAATAACCGCTTATCCAAACGGACTCCTGGTGGTCTGAAGTCACACACCATAAGGCAAGGTATACCTTAGGCATAATGCCAGTATATAACAAGGAATTTGCATATTCGTGCATATTCACTCATGCAGTCACACATTAGGGGCTACTGAAAGATACCAGCTGCATTTTGGACGTGTAGGAGGTGCGTCACCGGGTTGCTAGAAATTTGTCAACTGCTGGGTGGAATGAAATCAAAATGAAATGCTGCCAAGTATTACAGACTGCGTGTATCACCTTCTTTTGTATAGCATACACTTTAATATCGAATGATAAGCAGTGAATGTGTAGAGGTTTTGATTCAGTGATTCAGTCCCTGTACCCTCATGCTTAAAGAAGAATCCTCATGCCAAATATTCATCCACTTAGCAATGCAGGGTAGCAGTCAGCTTGGAGCCTACTTCAGGAAGCGCAGGGCATGCGTGCTGGGCAGTATGCCAAGCCTTCGCAAGGCACGTACCACACTAAGGGCAGCTTACAGACACCCATTAACCCAAAGAATCTATCTTAGGGCTGCGGAGCTAAACCACACAGATACAGGGAGAGAACATGCAAACTGCACGTACTGAGAACCAGGGTGGGAATTAAACCCACATCACTGGTTGTATAGGGACACAATGCTACTCATTGAGCCACTACACATGAAAAAAAATATATATACTAATCTTGCAATTAATCAATGGAACATCCAGAATATGCAACAAATGAAATTAATTTCAGAATGTATGAAACTCTCTGTGAACAATACCCTGCCGTAGTAGATTATAACTGAATACAAGAGCACAGAAAGCCAGAGGACTGATGATACACAGCATCCACTCTTCCATCCATCTGTTTGTCCGGTACAGGGTCACAGGCCAGTGTTTTTTGTATACGGGCAGTCCTCAGGTTACAAAAGAGATCCATTCCCTAAGTCTGAAGTAAAAAATAATAATATACTACATATAATATAATATAATATAGTACATTAATATAGTGCAATAATATAGTGCAATAACATAGTACAATAATATAGTAATAAAAGAAGCTACATACAGTACTGTATTGTACCTCGAGCTGACAAACCGATGAAACCGCTCAATGTTTTCAGGAACTTCACAAAGTTCTGCGTGTGTTTGTTATCACAAACCATTGTATTTAAGCAGAGTATTTAATATGACAGGCTTTATGGCAGTCCGCTCATGAGCTCGAGGTACCTTAAGCCGGGGACTGCCTGTATTATATAGCCAACCAAATGTTGTTTTGGGGCCACAATCTGATTGCGGAAGGTGTCAGCGATGGCTGTTATGTTTGCATTCTTGAGGGCTGTAGCTGCATGCTTCACTTAGACTTGGAAGAAGCTATTTAAGAAACTAGTGAAATTTAAGATCTCGTTCTGGTATTTTGACATTTATTTATTAGTATTTCGTTAGTGGTGTAAGCTGTACAAGGGCTTTCAGTTTGTGTTGTTCTTGTAGGCCTCTACTTCTTTTGAGATACCGATTGCTGCTCATGTTAGAAAGACGTTAATGTGCTACAGATATGGTGGGTGTTCCAGCGGGAACCTACGTTCTGGCTTTGATTTGAATGTTTTACCCGTGAAGCCGGATATGTTAGATTAAGCGTTAGGTTCTGTGTAATGTGGCATTTTTGCAGGTCTCTCGGGTGTTGTGCTAATTGAAGATCGTCTTGGCAGAAGGATGTACTATAAAGTCAGGTGACGCTCAATTCTCTATTTTTCGGTTGTAAGAAGTTCTTGGACACTGGCAGAAAGTGCATCTGACTGCTTGCATGTTAGTTTAATAGCCGATTTTTAATCTGTGTCTCCCGGCTTGGCTTGATGCGTCAGATCTCGTGCCTCTCTGTTGCCTGCTGTCTTCCATCTTTTACCTCCCTTTGCTCTGCGAATCCTCTGCTTGCTTGCTCCGGCTACCACAGATTGCTCTGTGCCCACTTTGGCTCCAGCCAAGCCATTTGGCTCCATTGTCTGCTGGTTGTCACAGTGTGCCTGTTGTCCAGTTCCCGACCCTCGCCGCCTGCATATTGCTCTTGGCTGCCCTGCGGCTGGTGTGTTTCGCTGTTCTACAGCTGTAGTTTTGACAGCCGAGGAGAAGTCAAAGTAGCTCAGACCTCTCACACTTATCGTTAAGTTTAATTGAAATATACGGCCTGTGCAGTGGCTCAGGTGTTTGCACTGCAGTCCGACACCTTGGCTGCTCTGAGTTACAATGCTGGCCAGCTCTCTGTGTAACATATTCATGTTCACCTTGTATTCATGCAGGATCCTTCCATATTGCATGTTGGATGTACGTGTGTGTGTGAGTGTGTGTGTGTGTGTGTGTGTGTGTGTGTGAGTGTACGCGCACTCTGCAATCGACTGGCATCCTGTCCTGGGTATCCCCTCCCTTGTGTCCGGTGCTTCCTGACACAGATTCCAGGTTAATGTGTCTCCATAACTGGATACAAGGTATAGAAAATGAACGGTCAATGAGCTGTATATGTTGTACATTAAGACATCGTAATAATAGTAAAAAAAAACAAAAAAAAAAACGATTTCTACATTTATTAAGAAGACGTGTTTGGCCAGAGTAAGATGCGAGTAGGGAAGCTTGGGCCCAGAGGGGGTTGAGGGTCTAGCTCAGCTGATCTACACTGACATGACAGCTGTGCTGGCTGTGCCATTTAGACCTGCAGCCTGGGCACAGTTCCCCAATTCACTGTGCTACACACCAATATTTATAGTTCCAGTGGAAATAGGCACAGTGACATATTATTTTTGGCTGTATTTTATCCACAAATATGCAAGGTATATCAGTGTTTTATAATGGTATACAGAATCAATTAAAATAGTAATTATGATAATTAAAATTAATGTATGTTAATCTCTCTATGGTCAATAAGAGTTGTATAAAGAGAAAATAACTTTTGGCAATTGGTGTAACTGGTAATTCTAATACATTTTTAGGCTAATAATACATTTTCACATGTTTATATACAGATTCCAAGAAGTTTAAAGTAAGGCTGTCACTATCGATTTGATTTATAATTTGTTACTGTATCAATTAATTTGATGAGTGTGCAGTTTTAATATTGACAACATATGTTACATGCATATAATTATCACATTGCAAGGACACCATAGTGAACTGCGTTAAGACAAAGTTACGCGAAAACTTTTTCACTCTGTCAAACATAGCGAGTTCTGCAATTTTACTAATAGTTCCTTCTCAAGATTATCTAGTACAATGAGTCTCAACTCAGGGGTCGTGACCCCACAATTTTTGAAAGGGTTGCAAGGCAGAGTTGGAAAAGTAAGCATTTAAAATCCAGCAAGCTCAGATCAAATTACTCAGCCCCAATCCTAGAATTAACCTATTTAAACAGGTCTTGGACCTGCAAATGCTTAGCGCAAGACTAGTGAACACTCAACCAATCCAAGAAGCCAAACCACAGATGCTTAATTTAAAATTTACTGGCACATCCAATCAGATTTGTGCAATAGACATTGATTGGTGTAAATTGATCATGGCTCACTCATAGGCAGTGTGGCTTGTTTGTCAGAAATTTAACAAAAATGACTGAGAAGGAGAAAACTAAACAAATAGATTATCTTCAGATGCTGTCTGACAGTTTGGGGGTGGGGTCATGGCCGTTTCTGTCGGTAAATCCTATTGGCTGATGACTCCTGGTTTTGTGATTGACTGCGTACTACAAAAAGCTTCTTCAGAAGACTAAGATCATGGACAGTAGTGATGGGAATTCCGGCTGTGAGCCAGATTATTCATTTGGCTCAGCTCAGCAAAAATAACCAGCTCTTTCGGCTCCCAAATGGCTCTTCATTTAGTATCACTTCTGACTTTTATAATTCGGCCAAATTTAGCAATGCAATTATACTAAACCTTATTATATCGAGAATACCATTATGTGTGGTGTAAAAACATCAAACACTATTACATATGTGTACATGTATCGAACATCGTAAATTTCTGTTTAGCTGCAAACATTAAACATTGCATTTGGTTCTGGTGCTTAAATGTAATTTACAATTCTAAATTAGTGATGGATAATATAAAGCCTCATGAACCATCTGCTGTATTTTTGACCCCACTAGGAGGTGCTCTTGGTTTGCTTTGGGGGGGGGGGGGTTCCTTTGTACCTTTTTTTTGAACAAAGAGCACCATCTAGTAACGTCAAAAAGACAGCAAATGGATCATGAAGTGTTATTTTGTCCATTACTAAATTCTAATGCTACTGTCATGTCCATATCAAATAAAATAATTATTAATAAACTATCCAAAACACAAACCATTGCAAATAATTCACATTCAAAATGGAGCATGGCATGCCATATAACAAAAAATAAATTACAATGTACAAAACTGCCGCATCAGTACCCATGGCCAACCAGTGCGGCAAAAAGATCATGTTATTATTGTCTTGTACTAATTAACAAAACAAAAAAAATAAATAAGCTCTCAGATGGGAACCGGGTCCCATTGTTCATGGAAAGAAGCCAACTGGACCAACACATTACTAATAATAATAATTTAACAGTAAAACTTTAACTCTCTTTTTTTATGAGCAGACAGCCACAAAACCAGGAGCCATCAGCCAACAGGATTTACCGACAGAAACGGCCATGACCACGCCCCCAAACTGTCAAAACCTGAGGGCAAAATTTTCAGTCGAGCACAGAGATCAGCCAAAGGCAATCTGTTTGGCACGTGAGTATATCTATCAAATTGAGAAGGAAATAAACATTCGAGAAGGAAAAAAGTACGATATTATGATGCACTCGCACACAATATTTCTTTCTGTGCTCACTAGTTTCATATTTGTGCTCGAAAGTGGGATATTTACATACACAAAATGTTTAAACTTGCAGGTTTATGTTTTTCACTCTGTTTTATCGGCCTCAAGTTTTGACCTGCAGGTGACGCTATACTTTGTGTCTGTTGGCATAACTTACAGCAACAGACCGTGTCAGTAGATAATAACAAGGTACATTTGGCTACTGTTAATTTTAGGTCACTTGTAAACTCTTCTTTTTTGTTTAATTGCTACTTATCGCAAACATTTCAAATATAGCAATGCGGTAATTCCTACTCAATACTCACAATATGTTCACAAAATATTAACTAATAGTCATATGGTTATAACCATTGGCATTAATGGGGATGGGGGATTGTAACCTCCCAATAATCAAAACCAGCCAATACAACCCACTGGACCCCCTTACATGGGTGGAGAACTCAACCCCCTAATGCTTAAGTTATTTCTTGGTTATAACAACATAACATGTACAGTACCTCTGTTGTGACGCTCTGTTTTCCTTCAACCATATTGAGTAAATGGAAAGGCAAATTTTATTCAGAATTTGATGATCAGTGGTCATTGTTGACACACACAGCACACCACAGCACCGGGGAGCAGTGTATGGGGGCGGTACCTCGCTCAGGGTACCTCAGTGGTACCTTGCTGGTCGGGGATTCGAACCAGCAATCTTTCAATCAATTGACTCTCGTTTAAAGATAATTTGATGTTGAGTGCTATACAACTTCTCATGAACCCAAAATCATTTTGTTAAGACATGTGTTGCGTATATGTTCTGGAAGTAATACCACCTTGATGCTTTGCTACTTTTTATACTTCACTATTTGAACTACAGTTTTTTAAAAAAGTCTTCCCATGAAGGAGTTGTCTACAGTAGAGTAATATATCATGTCATTGACCCTTACATGCGTTCCTCTTCCCTATCCTCCTCACCATTTCTAGTTTTGCTTTTCCCTGAATTTCCTGGGGATTCCATCTCTGTTGCAAAAGTTTAAAGCTGCACCATACCTTCGTTATACTAATATCGAAATATGTCTGCTTTTATTTCCTTGAGGACTTCTTCATAGATTCTCATTAGAATCTAATCACACAAGAATACTTACAGTCTAAGCTATGTTAAGTGAGGGCATTTTCCAGTGATGTTCAGGCTCTCATAGTTTCAAAAGGGTATTTTAACAACAAGCGTCTTTAGTTCTTGGTTCCATGGAAGTGCAGGTGATCTTTGTTCTTGGTATGAATTCCCTTTCAAGTATAATCTAATTATTTTAAAGAAATGAAGAGGTGAGATGATTATGCTTTCAAGTGCAAAGTCTCCTTCTGCGCATGCTTTATTTTTAAATATTATTTATAGCTAACTGACTTGCAGAGGTTACTGATTAATGCATAATGTACTCGCACAGTTATTTATCAAAAATGATTCAGATAAATGACATTGGGATACAAAAATAGTGCCTTTTTCAGCTTTCAGTTAGCAACCCACTGGATGCACGACAAATTGCCCAAGTACTACATCTCCCTGCTGCCAGTTGGGTGTGATTTGACTGATGTGAATGAAACTCCGTAGCACAGTCATCCTGCGGACTTTCCTACTACTTCCTTTGCCTATAATCATCCTTGCCGGTTGCCAGTGTGCTTTTCATCCATCTAGAACTTAATCTCCCATTTTTAAATCGGCCACTGCTGTCATTTGTGTGTGCAGGGATGCTCCTCTGCCCTAGATTTTGAAATAAATGAGCATAGTGGAGTAGAACGCACCCTTGTAGCAACGATGCTTGGGCCATAAAAGGAAGTGTGACTTTGGTATGTGTCAGACTAAAACCTCGGAGAGGTGTGAGAGGTGCTATCTTTCATGGGTGTCTGCATAACTGTTTGCATTGTGGCGTAGCCTTGGGTCTCTCTGTAGACGCCTGTCTTACTGGGTAACCTCTCGCTGCTAAAGACACACAGGAGTGAAGGCTGATTAGGCCGACGAACCCCTGACTGTGTATTTGTGTAGGGAGAGTAGGTAGGTGTAAAGCATACAGTCACCTGTGCCAGTGCTTAAAAAAACCCATAAAATGTGATTTACATTAAGCGGTATCACTGATGTTACAGTGTGGTGACTGAGGTGGGAGAAACCAGAACCAAGCAGAATTTCAATGGGTCCTCAAAGACTAGAACCACAAGACCCAAGAAATGCAGTCGAAAGGCAAGTGCAAGTCAACCATCATTCATAAAGTAACGTGCACCTAGAACCAAAATGCAGTAATTAAGTAAGGTCTGAAGGCAGACAAGATTTTGAAAACCAGTGGTCATCAAACAGGAATACTGGGAATAGATAGAGTTCAGCGTGACATGAGCTCCATACCTTCTGGTTGACTGAGGCCTCTTATATTTCTCTGAAACTAATTATGAAAGCTGCCAGTGTCTTTAGTATTGCGGTGAGGCAGGCAGGACATAAAATAATAGTAATTGTCAAAAAATATTGGAATGGGGCTTTGAATGTCCAATTATGAGTTGGAAACTTGGTTTATGAAGGTGAATAAATACGATTTTTTTTAACTGTAAAAGTGTAAAATTCTGTTTTTTTTCAATAATATGCAAAAAAAGAATCTTATCTGACATCCTTGCTTTGTCTTTAAATTCGCATCATATACACCTTTGTATTCTGCCAGAAGACAACAGTGCTTTCAGTAGTTGGTGACACAATGGCAATTATTAGAATCCTCTAAGGACAAGGAAGGGAGGGGGTGCAGGGAAGGTGAGTCAGGTGACCGCGGCTGTTTGTGTTGATTCATTCATTCATGACTGAACATATAAAGTGATGTATTCTGTTCTTTTTCTGCCTGCAGTAAACCTGCCCAGATGCTGATGCCCCTTCTGTCTCCTACATCAGCTTATAATGTTCCCCGACCCGCATGCCAATACTTTTATTATTTTTTTACCCTTGCTCTTTTAGTTTTTGTGTTTCACCTGCTGTTTTGGTGACCTGCTTTCTGTTCTTGTAATTCCTGAAACAGGAAAACCTGCTGCCAGTAAACCGTTGTTGCCGTGTGCCAAACGTTGTTTTCTGTTCAAAGCGGCTTTTCACAGACATATGTAATTAGCACAATTTATACCATGGCTTTAGTCAACACTGTTTTCTTATTGGTCCAGAGATGTCACATGGGTGTTGATTATTTTTGTGTATCTGCACTGGTAGTTCTGACAGCCTAATAACAGTTCTATATTAATGCATGTTAATGTTTTCTTAAATGTGATAATATAAAAACCTGTGTGACTTTTTACTCATGAATAAGCAGTCATTTTTATCAGCATAATTTTTCTCAAGTGCCTGTCTGTCGATGGTTTCTGTGGTAACTTAATGGACTTGCTGCTTCCACTGAGTAGACTGACCATATGTTCTATCTTTATAGGGGCTATATTTTTAAGAGCACATCTCGTTGTGGGTTATCCCTTACATAATGTGTGTGTGTATGTGCGTGTGTGTATGCGCATGCGTGTGTGTGTGTGTGTGCGTGTAGATACATAGCTGTGGAGAAAATGAAGAGACCACTCTATACTTTTAAACAAACCTACATTTTTAAATCCTGGTTTAATCATGGTTCTGCTGGCAGAAGGTTATGCTGAGCAGCAGGTTCCTTCCAGGTTAAAAATTTCTAAAATTGCATTACAGAAGAACAAGGTGAAGCAGGAGACACTGACAATGATCAGCAAGCAGCCAGGTGAAGGGCGGAAGCGACTTTCTAATGCCAGAGATGACTGTTAACTTATCCGACAATTTCTCATGAATCGAAGGATGACATCAAGTGACCTTCAAAAGGATTGGGAAACATTAAGTGCAGGTGTCAATGAGAAACAGAGAAGAACCAGGCTGCAATTTGCAAAATTATGTATAATTATTATATATATAATATACATACTCTCAGTGGTCATGTTATGAAGTACGCCTACATAGTATGAGGTACATCCCCCCTTTGGTTTCATAAGTACTTCAGGTGTCGAGTCCTGCACTCAGAGAAGGCATTCTGCCTACCGCTGTTGTACCGAGCTGTTATTTTTGCACTTGTGATCATCCTATTAGCTTCAATGAGCCTGGTCATTCTCCCCTGACCTCTCTCATTAACAAGGTGTTCTGAGCCACAGAGCCACCCCTGACTGGATGTTTTTGTTTTTATTTTTTTATCGTACCCTTCTTTGTAAACTCTAGACACTGTAGTGCATGAAAAGCCCTGGAGGGTGGCTGTTTCTGAGATGCTTAAACCACCAAGTTTGGCACCAGTACTCTACATTAAAACCTGCTCAAATCAGGCTTCTTAATGTTGTAGCACTTAAATGTGCAGTCCCTGAGCCTTGTCACTCTAACTGCATACTGTATATATTCAGTTGCAGCCACATTATTCTGTTTGCAGGACCAGGCTGCTTGAGCCGTTGTACATAATAAAGTGGCCACTAATAAAGTGTATGTATCTATATCTATAATTAGCATAATATAGCAGTATTATCCAATTCGTTTCAGTGGTTAACTCTGGTGTAGGGATTTGTTCAAAGTTGTCAGAACAGTATATAGCTGTTATGTAATTTAGGGGAAATTTACTAATAAAATTCATTGATAGATAAAGAAGTAAATAAATAATGTATGACATTTTAATCAAAGCCTTAACCCAGTGTTATTCCAGTCTTATAGTAGTGAAAATGGCATTATGGCGACCTCTGTTTGGACTTTCCCAGTACAGGACTGCATATCCATGAAGGGTGAGAGATCATGACATTCATGACAAATGTGAAGGAGAGGAGCACGTGAAGGAAGAAGGGGTAGTCAGCACTTGCCAACTGAAGATCACGTTCAGGCTTGCAATTATGAAGGATTTTCTTTGATGTAAGTTGAATATAAACATAAATCTTTGGCCGA